ATAAATGAAGTTGTCATGGACAACATATTTTCATATACAATTGCTCTTAACATAGATAATGAGGATCCGAAATCTCAATGTGAAAATGTCGAAGAAAGTCGATATAGACATGATTAGCCATCATGAAAGATAGAGCTAACTGCAGTAGTTAAACACCTGATGGTGTCTTAAGGTTATATACTGATATAGCATATTGACAAACTCATGTTATGATTCATATTATATTGACAAATACATGAGATCAACATCTCTATCCATTTCATATTTAATTATAAAACCATGTTGAGAATCTAATGTTGATATGAGCAATGATTTCTCTATAATGCACGACTGGTAGCTCAAGGTTATTCGTAGAGACCTAATATTGATTATGATGATATATACTCTTTTGTGATAGATGCAATCGTATTCCACTTTATAATCAATGTTGTCACTAGATAATGATATTTTTGACAATCCCAAAAGGATTTAAAATTCCTGAAGCAATACTACATGGTACATACTTGATAAAGTACTATAAATCTTATATGGATTGAATAATCTATGAGTATATGAGATAAACATCTTAACAAGTACTTACTCAAAGAAAGGTATGTGAATACTCCAATTTATCCATGTATTTTTTTATTATCAGGATTTGGTTTTGCTATTATTGCATTATTTATTGATAATCCAGAATCATGTTGGCACATCTAATGAGTTAGACCAGAATTCGAGATGAAAGATCTCAAAAAGACAAAATCTTGTCTTAGACAAACAAAGCAAAATTTTGAATATAGATACATATATATTTTTAACAGATCTTATGCTAAATATTGTTCTAGACATTGTTTCAGATTATGAAAATTAACAGTCTTTGATACAAATAAGTTCATATCTCATATGCACTATCTGACAATGCGTTAGTTATCATTGCAACAGTGGGGATATTCATGGTTGAAATTATTGACCACTAGCTGATGAATCTAATGGCATTAGAAGAGAAATTGGAAAATACTACTATCTTTTAATTGCTTGATGCTAACAATGTTAAATCAGACATTGGAGACTACATTTCGGTAATAATGCAGAATTTGGCTCTCATGCTAGTTGACTGCACTAATGTGTTTGTTATATAGTGGCGCCTAGCCCGAGTTCTTATAGCAGTCTTCTCTATTGTTGTAGAAACCACTGTTTTGTAGCTAATATAGCAATCTCCTCGAGGTTGTGAGCTACAAACAAGCATCTTGGAGTATTCATCCTCATTTTAGATGTCCATGTTCGGATATCCGCTCTTTACAAATACAAGAAGTTCGGTACCAACAGACAATGAATGCTTTTATGAACATAAGGCATCCGTGGCAAGAAATATAGATTCAGTGTTTAATCACACCTTGCTGCCACCTCAATGTATAGAGTTTATCACTTTGAATGAGAGAGTGGAAGTTTGGGGTCAGAGATGCTATAGAACCATAATCTGATTTCGATTATCGAACGAGAAAGTTAATTGTGTTGTCATAACCAATTTGATGGATAAGGGGAGCTGAATCTAAATTATCCTTGGCTTGATGCTTGTTACTAGAAATGCACAATAATATTTATGAGGGAAAGTAGTTGATCAAAATCTTTGAAGTAATACAAGAATTATACAAATAAAGGGGGAGCACTAAATTGAAAAGGTATCGGCATAATGTACTCTTTTTCCTTCACTCAGGTTTTGTCCTACTGGGTTTTCTTGACAAGGTTTTAATGAGATAGTTTTGATCTATGCAATACCATTTTAAGACATACTAGAATATTGTGCTCTTTTTCCTTCGATAGAGATTTTTCCCACTTGGTTTTTCCTAACAAGGTTTTAACGAGGCATATTATTAGTGTTGTGCAGTGGACCCCAATAGGGAGTGTTATATATAATTATGGTGTCCACTAATTAGGCATAGGGTTGAATTAATTTGTGCACTAAATAAGTGGTAAATGCACTTGGTTAATGGTGCACTATGGGTGGTAATTAAGGCAAGAGTTTTGGCTATAAATATGGGTTGCTCCTTGTTATATTGATGTACTAAAATTTTGAGAAGTAAATAAAATCTCTTTCTTCATCTCTATATTCTTCTCTATTTTGGGTATCACTTAGTGTTCTGAATTTTCTCTATATTCACAATACTGATAAGAATTTTCTTTAGAAATAAATTTAATGCGCGGGAGAAATGTGGACATGAGTTGTTATAAAATGGATCAAGTTAAACTTGAAATTCAATCCAAACAAAGCATAAAAAAAAATTCAATCCAAGCAAACCCATTTTATTGGTCCCATCCTTGAATTTGTTGCTTGGATTGCTACAGATTTTTATTCTCTAAATGGGAAGTTGAGTATTCGAGTCGGATTAGAGGTAATATTGTGAATTATGTGCAAAAAAAAAAAAAAAATGTGTCTAAAAAGATGAAGAAGTAATATCCACCGTTTGGATGGCTTTTCTTGGTTGAAATACTAAAATTTGATAAGAAACCCTTGGTGGTATTTTTGGCAATTTAATTTTTTTAAAAAAGGAGAAGAAAGTTGCTATTAAATTTGAAAAGAACAAGTAGAGAGGAATTTATATGATGGATATATATATATATATATATATATAGGGGGAGAGAGAGAGAGAAGCTCGAATTCAATGTATAATGTAATATATGATTGGATAAGTTACAAAAAAAAAATTTCGAGTTACTGATATGGAATGGCTCATCATTTTGAGTTGAGGTCCTGTTGTTTTCAGATGTAAACAACCGCTTGGACCTTCTTCCAATTGGCTAATGTTGAGTTGCATCCACACACCATGAGGCATGAATTAATGTCGAGTTCACATCTCTCTGACACACACACATACACTCACTCACACTCACACACCATGAGGCATGATTCATGAATTAATGTCAAGTTCACATCTCTCTCTCTCTCTCTCTCTCACACACACACACACGCACAATTTTCTAAAATTATCGTTAAGGTGAAAATGATTAGTACGATTTGCTTGTGTGACACTTCAAATCAATTTAGCTTTCAATCACATCTCTACAAAGTACAAATTGAAATAAAATACCTTACTTTATTTTATACTCTAGGATATAAAGATTTGTGTATCTTTATTCGATTAGGTTATTTTCATAAAAAAAGATTAAAAGCTTAACCTTCAAGAAAAAAATTGTTTGAAGTAAAATATTGTAAAAATTGATTGGATTCGATTATTTAAGAGTAGTAAATATTACTCATTTGTTATTCTAATATATAGTATTGCGTCTAGCTTGAAAAAAATATTATTTGGAGTAAAATATTGTCAAAATTGATTTGATTAGGTTATTGTTAAGGTATCATTTTTATAATTAATTCCTTTATCATTTTCAATCTTGAAAAATTGTTTGAATTGAATTCGAATTGACCACTAAACTCAATTTTAACTAGCAATTTTTAAATAGAGTAAAGTGCAGAAAAATTCCCTCAACTTATAACTTTATCGGTAAACTCCTCTCTTCTAATTTTTTACTAAAGAACCTCCCTCAACTATCTAAGGGGGATAAAAGAGTTTATATTTGGACCCAAATGCCTTTTTATTTAAATTTTAATTTTTCTAAATTTCAAAAATTCATATTTTACAAACCGTACATCTAAATATTGCAAATAATATATATACAGAAAACTTATAAAATAAGGATTTTAGAAATATAAGATTTGTTTAACAAAACTTCATAACCAGAAAAAAATAGACAATCTAAAAATCTATTACAACAATCTTATTTTATTTTTTATAAAATACTCGGGTTATTTGCAAGAAAATTTTCAGAATTATTCATTTTCATATATAGCATAACATATAAAAAAAATTAGCCCCAATAGAGACCGAATATTTATTATTATTATTATTATTTTTTAAATGGTATGTCTATAAAACAATAAAAATACTTTGACGCAAAATATGATATCTCATTAAATCGATCTCTGTTGGGGCTAAATTTTTTATATATTCGGCTTTATATGTAAATGAATAATTCTGAAAATTTTATTTTAAATATCTCGAGTATTTTATTTTTAAAAATAAAATAAGATTGTCGGAATAGATTTTTAGATTGTCTATTTCTAGATGTTATGAAGGTTTGTTGTACAAATCTCATATTTCTGAAATCCTTATGAAACATATATTATTTATAATTTTTAAATGTACGGTTTGTGAGATATGAATTTTTAAAGTTAAGAAGAATTAAGATTTAAATAAAAAATGCATTTTAGTTCAAATATCAATTCTTTTACCCCATTCGGATAGTTGAGGAGGATTCTTTGATAAAAAATTAGACAAGGAGAATTTAGTGAAAAATGTTACAACTCGAGGGAGGTTCTTTGATAAAAAAATAGACAAAAAAATTTTACTAAAAAATACTACTCTGTACTTTGTCTTTTTTAAATATTGGGACAATTTGGACATCGCAATTCAATTATATGGTTCAACTATATAGTACCTAAATTGTCACTTTAATAATGTCAAATGTTAAGGAGTGTGAGACTTGTCCACTTGTCACGACTTCTAAATTAACAGATTTTGAAAAGAATAAAAAATAATGTACAAATTATACTTATTCAATATAAAGATTCACTTTGTAGAAAAAATAAAATAAAAAAATCATCAAATTAAATTAGCATATTTTGGAAAAAAATAAAAAAATAATGAATAAAGTGAAAAAAAATCATAAAATAAAATTATAATGTAAATGAATTTTGATACAAAATTTTGACTCTTTTAAACAATTAAATGTGACCCGCATATAAATAATATTTGCTTAGTACACATTTCTCATATAGTGATGATTATGTTTTTAAAAATAAATAACACGAAAAGCGGACAATATTTAGAATAAATAATGACCAAATTCAAAAATTATCAAATTGAATTTATGTGACAGACTCGGTAGTGGTATCACTATTCAATAATAATTAATTATAAACATTTTTTTTTTGCCTTAATGCGTCTGCCTTCTAACTATTATCGTCCACTCTACCCTTTTCAACGGTTTCAAGACTCTTTTAAGTCTCAACTTCTCTCTCTATGACCCATTTCTCTCTGACTGCGAAATCCCAATTACCTCCATAGCTTCTCCGTTCTGCTCACGCAAACTCTCTCACTGTCTCGCTATAAATATAACTAGACAAAGAAGAAGGACAACAACAAAAATTATGGAGTCCGATTTGATAGAAACAATGGAGTCCAAAGCTAACGGTCCCAAAGAGGAAGAGAATCGGAGTCGGGTTATCGATGGACCGACCAATCCAATGGTGACACCTCTTCTCACAGATCTCTATCAGTTCACTATGGCCTATGCTTACTGGAAAGGCGGCAAGCAGAACGAACGAGCCGTGTGAGTCCATTTTTTTTCCGAATGCCCAATTCGACCCTTTTCATTGATTTTCTTGTTTTCTATTTACTTTCACTGTTTGTTGATTTATGGGTTTGTTTGATTTGATAGTTTGTATTTATTGTTAGTGGTTTATACAGTTTGTGATTTTGAGTAGTTTTTTCGAATGCCAATTCGACCTTTTTTATTGATGTTCTTGTATTCTAGTTGCTTTCATTGTTTTTTTTATTTATTGGTTTGTTTGATTTTGATAGTTTATTTTGACAGTTTATTTATTGTTAGTGGTTTACGGTTTGTGATTATTGTGGATATATGTATGTTTGCATGCCTGGGTATGTAACAGAAGACATAGTCAGACTGGTTGTTTTTGATAAATTCAATTATTTCAGTTGTTTCTGTGCTGAAATTTGTCAAAACGTCGGTTAGTTTTGAATGATCGATTTTACTGCAACACTTGAAGCTGACCTATGAAGTTTCATGAATAGTAATTCGTTTTGGTGTGAATCCAATTTTTTGAATGCCAATTCCCCTTTTCATTGATTATCTTGTTTTCTGTTTGCTGTCACTGTTTGTTGATTTATGGGTTTGTTTGATTTTGATAGTTTATATATACATATTGCTTGTTTTTATTTTTAGTGGTTTACAGTTTGTGATTTTTTTGGATATATATATGTTTGCATGCTTGGGTATATAAAGAAGACAGAGAATTTTTTATTTTATTTTATTTTATTTTATTTTTGGCAAGAAGCACACCCACACACCTACTTTTTGCCCCTATGGGGACTTGAACCCTTGACCTTCTACTTTGGAAGGTAAGTGATGAAGAACCGGGCATGGCCCGAGAGTTTGAATTGCGCATGACTCTCACCTATGCATGGAGGAGAGGCAAGGACAGATAGATCTTAGAGTTGTTCTATATATTTTAGGAATTTTGGTAAATAAGAGTTACCTTTGCAATATCTCCTTTTTAAATGGTTTTAGTCTAGGTTTTCCTATAAATAAGGTATGCTGTCTCACAGCTATGTTGGAACTTAGCATAGCTATTTTCTAACTTTAGGCATAGGCACGGCTACATGGCAGCCATTACGGTTACATGTCTCACTAGGCTCATGGCAGCCATTTTTATTAACTTTTTATCTTTGCAGCAACTATTTTAGAAGTAAGTTTGTTGTGGTTTGCCTGTATAAATCTAGGCATATGTATTGTATTAAGTACCTTTGATGAATATTGAGTATTGAATTGCATATCTCTTCTCCCTCAGATTCTTCTTCTCTCCTGTCTTCTTTCCTCTCTCTTCTTCCCTCTCCCATTGTCTCTTCTGGTTCTAAATCACTCACACTAGTCTCTTTTACATCAGTAAGGAAGTACCACTAGGCTACAAGGATCTTGGTAAGAAGACATAGTTAGATTGGTTGTTTTTGATAAATTCAATATGTTTCAGTTGTTTCTGTGCTGAAAAATTTCTTGAATAAAATGTGGGTTAGTTTTGAATGATCGATTTTACTGCAACACTTGAAGCTGACCTATGAAGTTTCACTAATAGTAATTCGGTTCAGTTTTTTCTATGTTAAAATTTATCTTAAATAAAATATGGGTTAATTTTGAATGAATGATTTTACTGCAACACTTGTAGCTGACCTATGAAGTTTCACGAATATAATTTTATGTCGGTGTGGCAAACTGTGTTTGCTTAAGGCACGTATAGATTTTTTTTCGTAAAAATGGGCGGAAACAAGTTAAAGGAAAGGAAAGGCACAAAGAATGTCACTTTGTTTTAAGGAATGCGGAAAATTTGATAAGAGCTGAGAAAATCATGAGTTTGGTGGAGTGGATATGAGAGAGTTGAGAATTTAAACAGGGATTAATGTGTCAAAAGTTCAAAAGTACGCTAAACTGTGCTAAAATGGAAGTAGTGTCTTGCTTGTAAAGTTTTGGGTCTCATTTAGACATGTTATAAAGGTGTTCAGTGGAGCTGATATTACATCATTATCTATTTCACCTTTGGGAATCAGTGTGTTCAGTGGAGCTGATATTACATCATTATCTATTTCACCTTTGGGAATCAGTATGTTATGTTTCTTGTAAATAATTGTGTTCTTGGTTTTATGTTTTTTTTTAGGAGTTTAAGATATTTTATTGTACAAACTGGTCTATCAAAGTTGCTTGTGTGATCAGCTGGTTGTGAAGCAGATGAACATGAAACATGAAGTTCTGTTTTGCTTAGTAGTGAGGCAGTGCGACTCATACATGGAGCACTTCGGTATAGTTTAAGCGACTAGCAAGTTGATTAGAGGCTTAACAACTAGCAACTTGGGCAGAGGTTTAATAGTGGTGATCGATAGAGGACATTGTAAATCCTTGCTGGAAATGAAGGTTCTAAACTAGTCACTAGATTTTTGAAGCTATAACCAATGGAGTCACAAGGAAATTGTGAAAAAAAGTGGCTACCAAGACATTTGGTGAAAAGTAAAGAGAAAAAAGTAGCCACCACCAAAAAATGCAGTTATTTTGTTTGGTACTTGACTTATGTTGATAGGAGGTTTGGAATGAGAAATTCCACTATGAAATCATAGAAATTGCGAGGTGACAAATGTCGGAATTTCACTTCTCAAAGGAAAAAGTGCAAACTCTTAACCCAATACAGTTTCTTTACCATAAACAGGGGCAAAGCCAGAAAGTTAAGGTTGGGGGGCCAGATTTGAACTATGTAACAAGAATAAAAAAAATTTATTAATCAATTGTAATATATATATATATATATATATTTAAATACTAGTCATAGCATATATACCTTGAGAAAATAAATAAATGAGAAAAATACAACTTAGACAAAAAAAAAAAAAAAAAAGTTGTTAGAAAGAAAATAATGGAGAAGAAACGTAAAGAAATAAACATTGTTAGAAAATCAATTTTCCTTTATCAATTGCCGTATTAGTCTTTTTATTCCTTTTTTTCTCTCTTGAATTAATAATATAGATATTGTACTTGTATATATAAATAAAATAACAATGTGTTGCGATAACGACTATAATAATTATTTACCAAAAAAAAAATGACTATAATAACAATGAGCTTAAATTTTTGTTTCATCATATTTGAGCTTTTAGAAGTATAGTTAAAAGAGTGCAAGTTTAAAAAATTTTAAATTTGAAGGAGACACAAACTAAATTTATTTTCAAGTGTTTTTAAAAACATTGGGGGTCCAATTGAAATTTTTAATAAATTTTAGGGGCAAAATTTACAAATTAATTAATATTTAGGGGTTATTAATATTTTCAAAAAAGCTTGGATGGTCAATATATGAGTTAAAAATATTGGGGGGCCAATTAAAATTTTTAATAGATTTAGGGACAAAATTTACAAATTAATTAATATTTAGGGATAGTAAAAAAAATTTTCAAAAATGTTTGGTGGGGGCCATGGCCCCTGCTGGCCCCCCTAGCTCCGCCCTTGACCATAAATGCACTCCATCACCTGTATTGCAACTACTGCAATGATGTCATGATGGCTATCTATCCATAGGAACTTGGAAAAAGATATCAAATGAACAAGAGAAAAGTCCCACTCTCTTTCCAACCTCTTCAATTTCTCTGCTTCTTACTAATAAATTTTCTCAGACACAAGCATATCTAGCCAGTTTTTACATTTCGTAAAATGACCTCACCAAAATGGCCAATCACATTTTACCAAGGGAAGATGAAGAACATGGGTTTGTGATTTTGAATATCAGCAAAATCAACATAAATCTACTAAACTATAGGCAATTAAATTGAATAACACAGAGTCATAGACCTTCAGCAGTTTTTTAATGCCCACAAGCTGCAATTTTGAGAAGATGAGGTTTAATATTTGCCTTTGTGGATGTAACTTATATTTTCTTCATCTCCAATTCTTTATATTTTCTATGAAGTATTTGGCACGACAAGTTCAGGGCTTCCTATTAAACATCAAATGTAAACTTTATGACCTGTGTGCGTGTGTTTGTGCGTGTGTTTGTGCGTGTGCTTGTGCGTGTGCACAAGTATGAGTAGGGAATACATGGTCATTTCTTGATCCAAGATATTTGGTAAACCTGCTCAATACAAGGAACCATGTCAGCAGTTGAATTTAATTGCAATAGAAAACTTTTCAACTTTACCACTCAATGAGGCACATATTATTTATATTTGCAACTAGGAGTAAATTTATGTGTGTTTAATTCTTGCAGTGCCTTTTTCAGCCTTGGGTACTGGATCAAGGCTGAATCTAGTTCATAGTTGGTAGTTACGCACTATTTCATGCGTACTGATCTATTTCATGCGTAACTACCAAGGGAATGTTAACTTCCAAGTTACATCAGTTCTCTCACTGCTACCCCTATCTTCTTCACTCTAAGCCTTGGATTGATTTGCAAAGACGTATCAGCCTTGAAGTTTTACTTGATAGTCTTTGGCCTCTTTAAGTGGTCTCATTTTCTTAATACATAGTCTTTTAGGTGGTCTCATAGTACTGATCTATTTCATTTTCAAGCTTCTAACTCTGTTCTTTTTACTAATGTGAAGCTATCTGCTGTCGAGACTAACGAAAAAGAGCTGTGGGACTAGTAAAGCTACACATGTTTTGAATGTTTATAGAACTATATGTTTTGTATTTGTGTAAGCAGTTCATTTTTTCTATCTCTGATATGTTTCAGATTTGATTTATATTTTCGGAAGAACCCCTTTGGCGGTGAATATACAGTTTTTGCTGGTCTAGAAGAGTGCATAAAGCTCATTGCTAATTTTAATATGACAGAGGAGGAGATTGCTTTTATCCAGGCGTCCTTGCCTAGCACATGTGAGGTAAACCAACTTATTGGTTATGTTAATGGTAGACAAGCAGTAATATACTGAATCTAGTTCATAGTTGGTAGTTACGCATGGTATAAGTATTGAGTAAAGTTAACATAGAAGAATAAGATACTAGGATTTTCTTGAGCATTTGAACTTCATATATTCAGTACAAATTTCAGAGTCACATACGGCTTACATATGCAATCGGCAGAAAGATTGTCTACTATACCATATACATTGGTGAATTGTGCTTCCCTTGCAATCTGCAAAATGATCTCATTCTTGCAATCCTGGTGAAATGTGTGCCTTTATGCATTGTTGCGGGACAATTGTAATTGGATATGAATGTTAATTTATATTTACACGCATATATACAATTGAAATTGATAACTTAAAGTCAATGTGTTTCCAGACATAAATTATATAGGCAATTTGTCTGTTTGTGATGACTAGCACTGACATAACACATTAATTCTGGAAATAAGCATCCTTGCTAGTGGTTCTTGCACAAAGACTATGGTGGTATTTTATGTACCAAGCAGAAAACATTGTAGACCACTGCATCTTTCACTTGTAGTTGCAGATTCTCCAGACTTGTGCTGCTATCATTATTTTGATGTTGTGATGTAGCATTATTGCTCTGACCAGTGTACTGAAATTGATACATATTGGACTGAGCGGAAATTGGACTTTGAATATGAAAAGACCTAGATAATCTAGCATTCACTAGCTCCATTGTTTTTTTTTTTTAATTTTTTTATATATATATATTTTTTATACAGTACTACTATATTTTATTACTTTTTCCCCCAATGTTGAGAATCAAGTATTTGTCATACTAATTTGAAAGAACTTTCACATAGATTGTCTGGGTTTCACATTCTTGCTTGTGGTCTTTAAACTGCATTTATGAGATATTGTGTCGTTCTTCATACTTTATTATAATTCATGGTTTCTACATTCAAAATAAGTAGTTCACTAATCAGTGTTGGTGAACTATAGGATGGCTTCTATGAGTATCTTAGAGGAATTGATTGTTCTGATGTTGAAGTATATGCTGTTCCGGAGGGATCTGTTGTTTTCCCAAAGGTACCCTTGCTGAGAGTTGAAGGGCCAATAGCTGTAAGTACCTATAAATTGGTCTAATCTACATGAACTTCTTTTGGACAAATGTTGTTGTGTTTTGATGAGTCAATCCATGCAGATCTTTTTTTCTTGCTTGCTGTTGAACAGCACATGCATTTCTTAGTGTTGCTTATATTTCCTTATCATGAAATACCTTAAGGATCCTATTTGTTGTTCCAGGTCGTTCAACTGTTAGAAACTCCATTTCTAACTCTTATAAATTATGCATCATTAGTTGCTACTAATGCAGCAAGGCATCGTTTTGTTGCTGGAAAATCAAAGCTTCTACTTGAGTTTGGGCTTCGACGCGCTCAGGTTGCTGATATTTTCCATTGATTTGAAGAGCTTATCTGCGTTATTCATTTTGTTAATATATTCTGCGGCTACTTTACATATAGGGGCCTGATGGTGGAATTGGGGCATCAAAATATTGCTATATTGGAGGATTTGATGCGACAAGGTAATACCCAGTGAACTACTGGATTCTTAGTTTATGCAGTTGTCTTTTTTATTGTGGGGTTTCTTATCTTATCTATGGGGATATGTTGTCACTTCTCTTGGATGTTTGCTACTTTATTAATGAGAAACTCATTTATGGGACTGATCACCCATGTGAAGCTTTGTTTAGAATGACGGTTTTACAAAATTAATACCAAAAGACTTTTGAGTGCAGTTTACTTTTTTTTCTTCCATTTGTGAGTCCAGTTTACTTTTTTTTTTTTCCTCGATAATTAGCACCCAAACAGGGAAAGCAGCCAAGAACAACTGCAAAAAAACCCTATAGCCTCAACTTATCCACAAAAGACAAAAGAATCTCCATAGATTTACAATTTTACCCCTGAACCCCAAAGAATAGAGAGCTACGTATAGAAAATCTTAAAACCCCCCAAGGGGACTCCACCCCATCAAAGGATCTCATATTCCTCTCCCTCCACAAGGCCCACCACAGACAGAGCGGGGCCGTCCTCGATGCGTCTCTATCTTGGGGCCACACTGAACACCCTCTGTAGGCATCGGTCAAACTCAACACAGAATCTGGCATCTACCCATTAATCACTTGGCAACTTGTTCCTCTTGAAGAGAGGACTGAAGTCTAAGCTAGTATGCCAAGTCCCCAACTAGACCTGGAAAAGAGGAGAGGGGAATAGGTTTTCAAAACCATGACTAACAATAACGGGGTACTAAAATCTATAATCATAATCAAGTTGGCAATAATTGATAGTACTTAAATAATAGAAATCTAAATAAACATTGATATCATATAGTCTTATTCTAAACTGATAAAATTACTTGACATACCCGTTATCCAGACATCCTTCCTCAAATTCTTTTGCTATCGATCAATGAATCCTTTCCTCGTGCGATTGGATTCTTATTCTGTGATTACTGATTGATCTCCTATTCTAGCTGTTGAACTCCAACCTCATTATCTTCGTTTGATTTTCCTTTGAAGCCTTTACACACCATCTTATTCAATATACCTAGATGATGGAAATTAAAGAAAATCTACTCTAGATAGCCTATATGCACTATATGTATGCTAGTACGCTCTTGTGTACTGTTTCCCCCCTAATGCTGTTTATATAGGCCTTTGATCGCAAGAATTTTTTTTTTTTTTTTTTTTTTTTTTTTTAATTTTATTTATAAAATCAGTTAGGAATTTGATTTTTGCAAGGTTCAATCAATTGGCTTGGTAGTTCGATCCAAAAACTTGCACAAAATGGGCCAATTGATGGTTTGATCGATCAAAAGCCCTTGTTTGAAAAAACTTAGTTTTCCAAATTAAAACCTTTTTAAAAATACTCAGTGAGGCATGCAATGTATTCTAACATAATGAATGATACAAATGCACAAAACAAAACCATAATTGGTGAGTTAAGCATATGAGAGTGTGAATTTACCTTTTTACGCTTGTCATTATCTTGAATTGTCATCTTCACCCTTTGGATCATGAGGTAGCATCTAATTCTAATTACTGTGATGAATTCAGAAATAAATAAAATACAGTTAATTTTCTGAATTCATCATGGTGATTTTACAGTTTAGTTTTGTTTATCGTCTAATGGTTCATTTCCTGGATACTTTTTGGTTGGCTGGAGCCTGTAGCGCTGATGCTCCCAAAATGCAAGTCTTGAGCGAAATATTGCTGCAGTTTTAGTGATGGATTTATCCTCGATTCTTTTTAACCTCATGCATTGTGTATCACCTAGCAAAGGGTTGAGCTTTACAGGATCAACTCTATATTGTGTACCTGGATTCCTGTCATTCACAAGGCCACGTGCACAATATCACACACATTTAATTAAACAAGGATAAAAAAGGAAAATTCTCAGATACTTCACAATGTGATAACAACTAAATGGAGTCATAGTCATTTTCCTAATTGATCAGTTGAACTACATCAGTTCGAAGAAGTTACTTCAGTCAGAAACTTTCATTGCAGACCTTTATTAAACTATATATTTGTGCCACTTTGACAGTTAACCCAACAGGTCAGGCATGATGTAAAGTTATTTTTTGCGTGCCCTTTCTGAGTGACTTGGGAATCACTTGAGCCTTACAACCTTCTTATCTTTTCCAATAACTTGTTGATCAGAGTTGTCTCTCATCTCAATTTTGTGTTAATGTGTTGACAGCAATGTTGCAGCTGGGAGGTTATTTGGGATACCACTCCGTGGGACACATTCCCATGCTTTTGTTAGCTCGTTCATGGTTGGTGAAATTTACAAGCAACTTACACAAATTACAAATGTTTAGTAGTAGTTTAATAATTCTGTTTGTAGTTTGTACCACACTTGTAAAAAAAAGAAGAAAAAATCTGTTTCTACCACAGTGGTGATCAATAACTTTATCCCGTTTATTCTTTTTGGAGTCTTCTTCTCTCAAAACACAAGTGTTTGGTGACTTTCAGTGAATCACCCAAGTTGCGGCATTAGCATGTTCATCCTATTGAATAAATTTTACCATTGGATTTCTAATTTTTTTTCCCTAGATTGAATAAGTATTTAAGTGTTGGTGGTAGGAAGGGATGGTCACGGAGAACATTTACCCGGATTTATTCAATTCTACTCGGTTAGAACTGGCCTACTTTGACTCTTGTGGAAATTTGATGAATACAAATCAAGGGATATGTTAAAATCTATGGAATTAAGGGAACAAAAAACATTTGACTCTTTTTAGGACAAAATAGTTATTATTTTAAACATTATCGACTTAAATGGAATTCATGATGAAACTGTAACTTCTTTAAAGTTTGTAAAAGATAAAATATTTTATCCATTGTTTCTTAATAAATGTCTATGAAAACAAATGATTGGTTAAATTTTGTTATGTTTAACAGAAGTCTAGACATAAATGATAGTCTTGTTGAACATTTTTATGATAAGGGAAGAAGAGGGGATGAACATAGAGTCTCCCAACCAATTACTGAAATCTTCCCACATCATCTAATGGGTCTCCATCTACGTCATTAAGCCATGGTTCTGTTCAATGGGAATATCAGGTCTAGCTCCAAGCTTGCCTGTTTCAGCCAACGAATCTAACACATACTTCCGTTGAGAAATGAACACCCCTTTCTTCGATTTGCACACCTCGATGCCAAGAAAGTATCTCAATGATCCGAGGTCTTTAACCTCGAACTCTTTCCACAATAATGACTTCATTCGACGAATCTCTTCTGGATCATTTCTAGTGATAACAATATCATCAACATATACAATAAGGGCAGTGGTGCAACCCTGGTGCTTCTTGATGAAGAGAGTATGATCTGCCTAACTCTATGTCTACCCTACTCTTTTCACAGCAGTGCTGAACCTCTTAAACCAAACACGTGGCGACTACTTTAACCCATACAAGGCTTTATTTAGCTTGCACACTAAATTATGACCATTGGCAAGCTTAAACCCTGGTGGCATAGTCATATACACCTCTTCCTCCAAGTCAACATGAAGGAAAGCATTCTTTACATCCAGCTAATGTAAGGGCCAATTCAAATTAGCTGCCAAAGAAAGAAGAACACGTATAGAGTTCATCTTGGCAACTGGAGAAAATGTTTCCAGATAATCAATTCCATACGTCTGAGTGAAGCCCTTTGCAACTAACCGAGCTTTATATCTCTCAATTGTTCCGTCTGCATGATACTTTATTGTGTAGATCCATTTGCAGCCTACTGGTTTCTTACCCCTAGGTAATGGAACAATATCCCAAGTACCATTCTTCTCAAGGGCCATCATTTCTTCAAGCATAGCTTTCTTCCATGGAGTTTGACTAAGAGCATCTGAAACACTAGAAGGAACAGATACAGAGGAGATACACGAAGTGAAAGCACGATATGTTGGAGATAAGGCATCATAGGATACAAATTGAGATATGGGATGCTTTGCACAACTACGAACACCCTTACGATAGGCAATAGGGACATCAAAATCAACAGGAATGCTATTGGGAAAAGAATGAGGTGTATTAATGTCAACTAAGGAATTACCTGGATTGAGGGAGACTTCTTGGTCCTGGGGTGAGTCAATAACTTGTTTTGCCCTCCTAGTGTAGACAATTGGCTGCTTTCCCTACTGCAAATCATTAGTGTTATGAGGACTAGACATATGTACCTCAGTAAGAAGCTCCCCCTATGGGAACAAGCAAAGGAAGGGGGCATTCCCTCTGAATGGACAACGTATTCTCTACCTGTATAATAGTCACCCCCTGTAGAGAATCCCGATTAGGGGAAAAAAAAGGAACAGACTTAAAGAATGTAACATCCATGGAGACAAAGCGACAACGAGTGGTAGGGTTATAACACCGATACCCTTTCTGAGTGGCAGAGTATCCAAGAAAGACACATCGGATTGCCTTAGGGTCCATTTTGTCCTTACGATGAGGAATGTGAACATAACAAGCACAACCAAACACTTTTGAAGGACAGTAAACAAGGCAGTGTCATGGTGTAAGACAGTGAAGGGGGATTGATAGCCAAGAACCTTAGAAGGCATGCGATTGATAAGGTATGTAGCTGTTAAGGTTGCATCGGCCTAATAACTTTTAGGCACCCCCATCCCAATTAGAAGAGAATAGGCCACCTCCGTAATATGACGGTGTTTTCTTTCAGCTACATCGTTTTGTTGTGGTGTATCAACACAAGAGGTTTGATGGACAATCCCGTTATCAGCAAAAAAGGAGGCAAGACCACCATATATAAACTCTCATCCATTATCAGATCGAAGGATTTTGAGGGGATAACCAAACTGAGTACATACCATCCTATGAAAGGTTTTAAAAATGGAATGAACTTCATCTTTGGTTTTCATAAGATAAAGCCAAGTATATCGACTAAAGTCATCAACAAACACAACAAAGTAACGAAAACCAAGTAACGAAGTAGTAGATTCAGGACCCCACACATCAGAATGAACAAGCTGCAAAGGAGTTGTATTTTTATTAATACCAGTAGGATAAGAAACACGACATTGTTTGGTAAGAACGTATGTTTCATAATTTAACTCAAAAGATTCAATAGAAGCAAATTGGGGAAGCACATGCTTCAAAACAGGAAGAGGTAAATGACCTTGTCTATTATGCCATTGCATTAACAGATTTTTATTGGCATTACTATTCCTAACACTAGATTGATTTGCAACATAATAAGAAGTTAGCCTCGCAGTAAGTACAAGCCATTGTCCTCACGTCCACTTCCAATCGTCTTCCCTGTGTCCTAGTCCTGAAACACACAATGAGATGGAAAAAAGGTTACACTACAATTCAAGCCTTTTGTAATGTGACTGACAGAGGAATGTTGTGCTAGTAGATGTCGGAGAGCATCAAGTTCAGCCTCGAACAAAGAACTCGGTGGCCCTGAGGAGGCGTAACTAGTAGAAGCAGTCTCATGCTCTGTAGTATGTGCCGTAGATAACCCCCTAAATGGAGTAGGGCGACCGTGCAGATTCCAGCATGTTTCCCCAGTGTGGCGCGTACGCCCACAGTGATCACACCTCAACTTGCTTTTGTCATCCTGTTTCCCTCCTTTTGGAGGATTGGGCTTGTTCCATTGTTGTGTGGCAAGAGCAAACCTCTTAGACAATGGTACTTCTGGCTTAGGCTTAGTGTTTACAGGTGCAGAAATAGCCTCCAGTCTACTCTCCTCAGCCTGGATATACGAAAACACATCTTTAACAGAAATAGGGGCTAAATACCTGCCTAACACTTGTACCCTGGCATGTTCGTATCTCGGATGCAGACCGCCCAAGAACTCATAGATTCGATTCCTTTCTACCATAGCATGAAATGCTTTAACATTAGCTGCACAAACAGGTATATAGTCTTGGTAGTGATCTAACTCTTCCCATTTACCATGCAGAGTGTGGTAATATGTAGCAAGAGTTTGGTCTTCCTGCTTGAATCTTGAAATTTGTTGTTGGAGTTCATACAGTTTTGCAAAATTACCAACCGAGGAATACGTCTCTTCCACAGTCGTCCATAGCTCTTTAGCTGTTTTTACAAACAGAAACCCTTTGCTGATCTGTGGCTGTGTTAACTGCAACAACCACGTCATAACTATTGCATTATCTGCACTCCACTCTTTGAATTCAGGATCGCTCTTGGAGGGATACGTGACAGTCCCTTCAATATGGTCAATCATCCTATGACCAGTGATATGCATACGAGCAAATTGAGCCCATTCCATATAGTTCATCTCATCCAGCCTAATAGTCGTCATACAAAGGCCTGGATGGTGATCACTACTACCTCCCAATATTGGAGTCAGACTAGGAGAAGACCCAACTTCTTTTGAAGTCACCTCTGAGGTAGACATTTTATCAAACAGTTTCTGGGTATACAATCCTCAAAAACAAAAACAGCAACAAAATATGTAGAGAACCACCTCTCTAAAACACAAACTTCAACTAGAAAGATTACCGTCTTCTGATGCATAAAAAAACGACCACACAGTCCCCACACAAACTCTAGAAAGCAACAAAGTAGACCATACCAGAATCGCGAACGATGAAGAAAAAGCCGTTGTTGCCCGTGAACACAAAAAAAAATCGATCAAGACTGCAATAGATAAAAAAACAGGTACAAAATTTTTTTTCCCGGGCAAGGGCGCGCTGCCCCCAACGACCCCCAGCCAACTCATTGCAGAGTTGGATCCGCGGTACGTGTGGCTGTGATTAACACTACTTCCTTGCAAACAAATCCCATCTTGGTATCTCTTCAAAACCCTTCACACCCACTAGGGTTTACACAAACTTGCCCTAGGGTTTTAACTACACACCTAGAGCTTTACAAACCATGCTTTGATACCATGTTGACTTTAAGACATAATCAAATCAAGAGTAAGTGATAAAGAAGAAGAAGGAAAAGTGAAGAAAGCGGATGCGCAAAAAAGAGAGAGAGATGGGGAAAGAGAGAAAGAATGAAAGAATACTTTCATCCTTCTACCACATTCTATTTATAATAACAAGTTTCAGAATTACACATAAGCCCTAACATTATATAGGTAATAACAAATAAGCCCCTGACAACAAAAGAAACCTCGGTTTTGCAGCTAGTTTGATCATGTCAATTTCTGCATGATACTTATTTGTTTTCCATGTCAATCATTTTAAGGCGAAAACTTGTGTTGGTGTCCATTTCATGGTAAGTCATGGAGCAAGAAGTTATCCGCAAGGGTCTTTTGTATTTTGGAAAAGATCATACCCATCGATCTTGTTTTATATGCATCGGTCTTTTGTATTGTTTTATATTCATGCACTCTAGGTTTCACCGCTACAGCTATTTATGATATTAAGTGGTTGATTGGCTTTAGTGATTTTACCAGATCTGAGAGACACTTGTAGAGTTTTGAAGGGGTGGGGAAGAGATGTTGTCAAGCTGAATGAAAAAATAACATTTTGAATTGCTAGACATGTTAATTTACGTGCAATTACGTGTCTCAAGTACTTCCGTTTTTCATCCATGTTCTTTGGATTCTGGTTCATGTCTTGGTTTGCTGTCCTCCTCCATTTCTTACCAAATATTTTGTCATATTCTCTCTTTCTTTTGTTATGATGTAACCTTCATGGGTATTTGACTGTGATGTTATTAATTGTTTTTTTATATACGCAATTCAATTAGACAGTAATCATATGCATCATTATAGTATTTTTGTCCAGTGGACACCATATTTTCAACTGTTCAGGGAAAAAAAATTATATATGTATTTGTTTGATTCTCTGTTATCCATGTATTCTTTCTTGCTTGAGTTGTTTTTTCCCCCTCTAATCTTATTAATCCTGTGATCTGCAGAGCCCTGATGAGATCATAGACAAGTCACTTCGGAGTTGTGATGGTTCAAGTGCTTGCGAGGATTTTGTTAGTCTGGTGCAAGCATGGCTAAGCAAAATAAAGGTGCTCTTAAAAACTTGTTATTCTCACTCAAGTATAAATGCATTAAATGCATGCCGTCTTAAAAAGTAATTACTAAGAGGGATGCTTACTTTGGGGCTAAAGGGAGTAATAAAATATGCATTATTTTTAAGTGCAACAAAAAATTATAAATCATTTAAACAGTAATTATAAATTTATGCAATATAGGACTGTAAATAATTATAAATGCCCAATTGTAGAAAACGAGGAAGTGAATGTTGAATGATAATAAATTGTTATGACTTTAGTGGGAGTTTGGGTCGTTTTTAGAAAAACTAGCTGGTGTATACGTGATGTTTTTGGACAGAAAGAGGAGATGGTTTGTGTACCAAAGTTACATGTGTGCTAGCCAACCCGTTGAGTACAATTATTTAACTTGTGTTTCCCAAGGGCCCCAAATTTCTATGCCTAGTGCAAAGTTTCCTCTAAAACTTTCCCTTTCCAAGGGTTAAAAATAAGCATGCAAAATCTTAATTTTAAAAAATCGAGGAAAAGAAAGAAGAGCTAAATGTGAAAGATCATAACTGGCATTCCTCTTGGAAATTCCATTAGTATATTGTTTTATGTATATTTGGGAAAAGGCTTGGTAATATTGTTTTATGTAAATTTTTGTTGGATTGAAGTTAGGTTATTTCTTTTGTTTATGTGGCGAGAAATTAACGTCTTTAATTTTTTTCTTCACTCTAAATGGAAAAGACTAGAGAATCAATATTTTCTTTTACTCTCATCATTTTCCTCTCTCTCTTGATTTTGCATATGCATATATGTATAATTTTCAGCTTCTATTTGTTTTTGTAATTGTACTGTCTAATTTTAGAAAGGCTGTTCGCCTCTACAATGGGATTTTTTAAATAAATTCGTTAGTACCATGAAAAAAATAAATTCCATGGGAATCTTAATCTTTTAGGCTCTTCATGTCTTACTTCTCAATTGTTCTGTTTGTGGATACTTTTCAGTGGTCACATGTATCTCGTGGCATTTTTTCTGAGACAAATCAGAGCGAGTTAGCAGCTTTCACCTCATATGCCCTAGCGTTCCCTAGAAATTTTCTAGCTCTTGTAGACACATATGATGTAAGTATAATTTTTTTATTTTTATTTTAAATTAGCCTTGTATTCCTTGTATATCTGATATAACCTTTCTGTTGTATTTTTTCAGTTACCTGCCTGAATGCAATCTTTTGTTTATCCATTGTTGTTTAGCATTAAACACTTGGTATTTTCCATATATACTTAATTTGGTTAAGGTGATGTTTGATCCTCAAATTTTGACGTATTACATTTATTTTCTAACTATGCATAAAATACTAAATAATTAGTAAAAGTATGGGATGCCAAATGTTCACACGAGGGACAAGCCTCGTTGAGCCCTCGTCCTCCCCGAACAGAAATGAAATCCTTGAATCAGCTTAGTGCCCCCTTTTTCATTTCCGAAATGTTCTGCAGAAAGCGTCCTTGCCCTTTCCAAGACAGTTCCAGGAATGGCGGGAATCTTTTTTTTCTTTAATTTCTTTCATTTTCCTTCAACAGGTAAGAGAAAAGGTTCTTTTAACTCATATGCTGTTGAAATCCAAGAGGGAATCTCTATTAATTCGGTGGAGTAGAGGCTGGCTCGCTTTTGCTGTTGAACTGGTCATTGGACCATTAATTTCTATGTAATCTGTTAAAAAAAGAAGGAAAAAGATTCTAAATCACTATTGAAAGTTGTTTTTATTTTATATGTTATGCTCGTAGCTATTAAAGTCAGGGTTCTCATCATTTAGCTAATACTGCTCACTTGAGTGGTTTTCTTCTAGTAAACTTCCTTCCAAGCTACTCTTGTAACTCTAATTGGGTAACGTCATAAGGATTTTCTATTTAAACCATAATTACTATGTTTGAATAGTTTGATGACAATCCAACTCCCAACTATAGAGTTGCAGAACATTTTCTTGTGACTTGTGAGTGTGTTTTTGCTTCGTACTCTTCAAATTTTCTCTTCCTTGTGAGCTTTAAGAGGATCTTACATTGACAGTATTGACTTGCAACATTTTTGTTGGAACTTTGGCTTTCTTTGCTTCTTATACACCTCTTGTATACTTGGTTTTTGCCCTTGCTTACTTTGTATGACGTATGCTTATGCTTTAGATAGTAGATAATGATAACTGTCAACATGCTTTCTGTTGTTTTGCATTTCATGGTAGTTGATATATCTTGGTTTGCTAATTCATAATCATAGTGCAGTTTTAACTTCTGTACAGCCACTCTCTCTTCATGTAGGTGAGTCTAAATTGACTCACTGATTTGGCTTTTCTAACACAATGGTGATACATCCCTTTTATCAGGTCCTGAAGAGTGGAATACCTAATTTTTGTGCAGTTGCTCTGGCACTAAATGATTTGGGGTATGTCTAGAACGTTCATACATATAGTCATGTGCTGGCATCTTTATTCATTTAAAGTCTCTTTGTGCAGGAATTCTGTTTTAATGACCAATTTATGTATCTTTTGAATATTACACCACCTGTGGTTTTCTCATTCAGTAGGAATGTTTCTCTTTATGCTTGCAGTACCCTACCAAATGAATTCAATTTGGCAGAGGGGAATTAAAATAAATCTGCTTTGTCCATTCTGAAGAGTTGGATTAACAAGCGTACAGCATACAAATGATTAAGATGATTTGATTATCGTGATTATTATTGCTGGACTTAACTGTACTCAAGAAAGCCTGTCCCATTTCCTTTAACTGATTGTCCCATCTACAAGAGGTTTGAGAAAGGTTTTACATTATCTCTCAACTGACATAAAGGATAAAACACTTAGCACGAGACAAACAGAATTTGTAGCTGGCCTGGATTGAATTTACTATGTAACTTTATGCTAAATGGACATTTATTAGCTTTCAGGACCTTATTTCTTCTGCAGAATAAGAACTTCAAACTAAAAAATTAATCCATGCATAGTGAAATGTTAATATCTGTTAGTAACAATTCCTTAGGGCATCAGATGGGTTGCTTGAAATGGTTTCTAAATTACATTTAAATTTGTTAATTTTGAAATTAGTTGAATTTCATACTTTTGGGATGCCTTTCTTCCATATTTCTTCTGCAATAACACACAGTTTTTAGTAGAATTTGTACTGGAATTGATACAGTAAGGATAATAATATATTTCTAGATGGTGATTAGTTGTGCACTATTAAGAGTATAGTCTTCATTATGATCACATTTTATTTTATAATCTACCTTTCATTTAGTTGTATACAAAATTTTAACAGAGGAATATACTGGGTACATGAACAACTTTGCGTAACAATTCCTGCCTGATTAAGATACTAGATTGAGGCAAAATTTAGGAATTTTTTTGTAACTGAAGCAAAATTTATTTATTTATTTATTTTTGATCAAATAAAAAATTATTCTAAAAGTATGCTATTTGAGTGGAGCAAATGTGCCGTTCTTGTTGTGCATTGAGAAACACCTTCTGCCATCAAGTTGTCTTTGCTTTTGCCATTTTTCTCTTGGTGTTGAGAAATGTATATCCATATTACCTATTATTGTTTGTTGTTTTCTTCTTACCTCTCTTTTCCTTTTACTTCCTATCATTTGCGTAACATTTTCATGACATCATTTTTTCAGATATCCATTTGTTCATTGCTGAGTTTAGATGGCGTGCAGGTACAAAGCAGTAGGTATTAGGTTAGACTCTGGTGACCTTGCATATTTGTCTTGTGAGGCACGGAAATTCTTTTGCACTATCGAAAAGGAACTCAGAGTGCCTGGTTTTGGGAAGCTGAATATTACTGCTAGTAATGACCTTAATGAGGAAACTTTAGATGCTTTAAACAAACAGGTAAGATTTCTAATTTGACGGTGCTACTGACCAAATTATTCATATTCTTAAAACCACTCTAATGTCTTGCTGTCAATTGAAAAGTTTCTGAATATTGTCTTAGGCAATCAATAGAAATAATCGGAAGTGTACCACCATAAGCAATTGGACTTTCTTCTCTAATGAATGCTTTGATGCCAATTGTTGCAGTCAGTCAGCAAGCTACATGGATGTGGTGTATTTAGATGATGTTATGGTTAACAAAATTCCCTCCATTTAATAATAACCTGGCAGTGTTTTTATTGTCTAATAAATTCACTTGAAAGGCCACTTCTCTGGGGTGTCCCAATTACTTCTGAGTGCCTGACGTGATAATTGGCTTGTTTTATTTTGTTTCTATGAGGAAATTATATAAGTTGAAGTTTGTGCAACTAGTTTTAGGGTTTTAGATGAGAAGAAGAGAGAAGAATTGTTGTGAAAAATCTGTACATCTCTAGGGATTTATACAATACCTCCCTCTTATATATTAAAACCAGTAAAGAACAACAATACCCTTGATAACGAAATAATACTACAATAATGTCCTCTAACAATATAGAATTGTTATATTTCAGTGAAGCTATCTCTGGTTTTGATCTATTTTCAATTAACACCGTTTACAAATACACAAGGCTTTGTTCACTGGTCTACTTTGCAGCTTATGTATTCATAATATCGTGTGACTCTGCCGTTAGAGAACACAATAATGGTAAATTGGCAATTAAACTTTCTCCAAAATCTCAATTTATTTTGAAAAATGCTATACTATGGGTGACATGAGGTTAACGGCCGTCTTTTCAACTTTATTTCCGTCTGAATTATAATCTTTGATTAACTAATTGAAGCTTTGACAGTAATTATAATCAAGCGACCCTGCTCTTTGAGAACACAATGACGAGAAATTGGCAATTAGATTTTATCAAAGATCTCTATTTATTTTGAAAAGTACCTTACTATGGGTACACGATGGTTAGGCCTGTCTTCTGAACTTTATTTTCTTCTGCATTATAACCTCTGACCGAGTAGTTGAAACTTTGAAGGTGATGATGAGTCTATAATCACATCATGAGTATTCAGATTTTTTGTGATTGAATCAAGAAATATTTGGAAAAGAGTAAGAGCAAAATATAAAATATGCTTTTTAAAAGTTGAAATGATGATGCATAGTCAATGTACCAATGTGCTTTTACCCATTAATGTACTTTGACTTCAAAGAACTCAAGCAACAGTTAAGAAGTTTTTGCTGAATATTCGTAAACCAAGCACTGTATCAGTGACACTGACCTTCATGCACTATATCAGTGACACTGACCTTCATGTCATCCATTTGACCAGTATTGCCTTTGCAACGTCACACCTCCTGCCATTTATAACAAAAGTATAGTTTTCATTTTCAGCCTTGATCTGTGTTATCTGTTTTGATTTGATGCATGTTTTTATTTTTTTCTTTGCATTAATCTTTTTCATGCTACGTACAGGGGAATCTCTTTGGCTATTTACATACATAAAATGAAAATCATCCTTTATGTCTTCCTTAAATTAATATTTGAGTAACATTATATTTGACAATAAAAACAGAAAGTTGATTATACACTTGCACTTATAAAAGGAAATGGAAACGTGTGTATTGCTTTGATTCAATAAGAAATATGAGATGGTGCATCGACTATCAATGAACTGTCACATCATGTCGAGCTGAAGGATGTAATTATATTATTGGTGATGCTCCGTTTTTCGGTTTAGTAACTGCTCGTACTTTCTTTGCAACGCCCATAAACATTCACTATGAAATTGTGTATTGTTCAAAACAAAGTTGAACCATTAATAGAGACAGTGGCAGATGGCCAAAATTTGTTGTGATGGATTATGAATTATGTACCATTGGAATTTTCCAGTCTCAATTTATTGATTGTCAATTATTATATTGTAATGATTTTTATAGTTCTCCTTTTCACTGCACAAAGGAAGAAAAGGAGAGGAATTTTTATTTCTGGGCCTATTTGTCTATATTTAATAACTTTTTTCATGCACAGGGTCACGAGGTTGATGCATTTGGAATTGGAACCTACTTGGTTACATGCTATGCTCAAGCCGCTTTAGGTTGTGTTTTCAAGCTTGTGGAAATAAACAATCAGCCTCGTATCAAACTTTCTGAAGATCTTTCAAAGGTTTTGTCGTGCTACTGAAATATTTTAAGAGTATTCCGCTTTCGATTATGGAGGGTAAATTATTCTCTGGTTTTAGGTCACTATTCCATGTAAAAAACGGTGTTACAGATTGTTTGGGAAAGAAGGTTACCCCCTTGTAGACATTATGACGGGGGAAAATGAACCGCCTCCTAAGGTATTTTATCTACATACTGTATAGATGCTGCATATCTATTAATCTTCTTGTGAATGGTAGATGTTTTTATGCTTCATTCACTCAGATATGCAGGCTGACTCAACTGTTAATAGTACTTCATCCACTCAGATCACTACCTTGTGATAAGATTTCCCGCCTCACAGAGAGATTGGATTTTGCATTGTTGTAGCTTTTGATCGAACCATTTTGAAGTCCGGTTGAGAAATATTAATTTCACATTTTTCTCACTGATTTTTTATAAAGCCAAATCTGTTGTGTGTTAGTCCCCTAAAAACCTAATTGTTCTCTTCCTTCTTTTATATCTTATATGCCCCTATCAAGGCACAATTATGTGGACCAAAAATGCTGAATGAGATTGTACACTCCACTTGCCTCCAATATGGGAGGATACCTTTTAAAAAAAATGGAACATGGTATCCATGTCACAGAACCTTTCTCTAGGCAACAATCCTTTTATTGATGGATTCAGTTGGAAGAACTGTTTTGCAAAGGAAGTTGGGAGTTCAACTGCCTAAAAATGATAGATGGTGTTTTCTTTAATGCATGAAGTTTGTATGGGAGTATTTAATTAGGCAGACTTTGAAAGGCTATCCTTTAATATGAATATCCATAGTACCATGTCAGTTATTTCATGTACATTTATAAAAAAAAAAAAAATGTCAGTTATTTCATGTACATTATATGCATATATGTACGGTAAATTTTTTTCAGAAGCTTATATAGAGGGTAGAGAGGCCATATTAATATGGTAGAAAATAACGAACACCTACAAGGTTAGTAGTTGATTCATCTTGAAACAAGACTTAGATGTCTACTGTTTTAAGTGCTTGTTATTGTGATTTGTATGAAGTAACTCCACAATTGAGTAATACATGGAAGTGTCTCAATTATTATTATGTTTTTTCGTACTTTATTTGCAGGTAGGGGAAAGGATTCTGTGTCGCCACCCATTTAATGAATCCAAGAGAGCATATGTAGTGCCGCAGCATGTTGAGGAGCTTCTAAGGTGTTTTTGGCCTGGCAGCCCTGGTAAGAGATTTAGGATACATAATCTCTAGAGATAGTCACCACTGCATTCATAATTTTCGGCACTTTGTGCTTGTAACAGCATAAGAAGTGCCCTGTGTCTATAAATATATGTCGTCTCAATTTCCTCATTGAAAATAATTCTTTACAGTGCCTTGTTTTTACTTGGGTGGGCAAAGCTAATTGTAGGTACAAAAAATGGCCTTTTCTATGAACGGCCAGTTTTTATGCCATACACACACTCTTCTCACTCTTTCTCCTTTCTATTTACACTCTCACTGTCTTGCCCTAATTCCCTTTCCTTGGTGTCCACGTTTCTGGGTCGATAGGCCTTTCAAATTTGCTGGCTGGCCCATGGCTTGGGCTAGTCCTACTCTTTTGGGCCGACCTTTCACCGTTCGACCCATAGTAATCTTTCCTGTGGGCATTTTCCCCATTAACTACTGATTTGCACCCGATCCCCCAAACTAATCATGTTCCACCTTCCAGCGTACCAGAAATTTGTCTTCCATGGATGCGTTAAATATTGAAGCTTTTGGTTGATTTTAATCCATATTTTCAGATATCTCCCAAAATTAGCTCTTTCAACCTGTAACAAACAATATCACATTACACCCTCATTCATTCCCTAAAAGCATGCACAAATTACTATGATGCACCATATCTGATCCTGTCTTGATCTTTCTGTTTATCCGTCTTAGCATCCTTAAAATAAGGGATAAGTGCAGAAAACGCCCCTAAAATATACTCCGCGTAGCACTTTTACCCCCTGAAAAAGTGTGCAAAAAGCACCCCTAATCTTTTCACATTGTGCAAAAATATCTCATCTGACATAAATTAGTGTTGTAATACCTGTTTTGCCCTTTTACTTTTTCGAAAATGCCTAAGGGGGTATATATGCTTCTAATCTTATAGGATAGGGGTGTTATGTGCACATTACCTTATATATATATATTTTTGAAACTTTTTTCTCTATATATATCTCTAAACAATTTTTTTTTAAACTTTGAGAATTTGCAGAACAAGGATTTGAATTTTTGAAAAAATAAAAAAAATCCCAATATCAGTGTGTACAGGTTTTTGGAGTTTGGAAAAATTTTGTTTTCTTTAGTTTGCACTTTATTTTTATTTTTTATTTTCTATTTTTATCTTTTCTTTTATACTTTTATTTTTCTTTTATATTTTTATCTTTACTTGTCCATTGCCCGCGTCCTCCACTAGTGTCATTTTTTGGTCATTTTATAAAATTATTTATTTTTATATATTTTATAAAATGGTTCAGTAAGGGTAATTTAGTCAACTTAGGGTTTAAATTTGTTAGAGGGACCTATTTGCACCAGATTGAATTTTTAGGGGTGTTTTTTTACACGAGTGGGACATCCTCTAATAGTGTCCTTTTCAGTCATTTTACAAAATTATTTATTTTTATATATTTTATAAAATGGTTTAGTAAGGGTAATCTAGTTAACTTGAGGTTTAAATTTGTCAAAGGGACCTATTTGCACCAAATTGAAACTTTAGGGGTATTTTTTGCACGTGAGGGGGTGTGATATGCATCTTAAGCATACTTTAGGGGTTTTTTTTGCACTTTATCATTAAAATAAAATGAAAACTAAATTTTCAGCAATAGGTGGATTGCATACAATCTCTGAGCTAACTTTTTTTCTACTTGAAGATAAATTAAGAGACGAGTTACCACCACTTAAGGCGATTAGAGATCGTTGCATCAGGCAGCTGGAACAAATGCGGCCGGACCACATGAGGAGACTTAACCCTACACCCTACAAAGTGCTGCATTCTCTCTCTTGCTTTCATGACTTTTTTTTTGCTGAAAACATTTTCTTTCGCGAATTTTTTGCCGAGTTACAACTATGAAAATATTCATTTTATTGCTGAGCAGGTCAGTGTAAGCGCGAAGTTGTACGACTTCATTCACTTCCTATGGCTCAATGAGGCACCTGTGGGGGAGTTGCTGTGAAGATGGATGAACAAGATGTGCTGCAAATGTGATATGAAATGGAATGCAAGTAGTGATTCCAATGAAATTGGAGGAATTTCAAACAGTATGAATTTAAATGTTGAATTAGCTATGTAACTATGGGGTTGATAACTTTGATCTTTCTCTTATTGCTTAATGAAAGAAAGATATGTTTGCTTCACCTTTTATACTGCCACTGACATTTATAGGGCTTTGATGGATCATAGCAAAGGGTCCATCTAGCAAAAGCATTTAAAATTATATGAACAATGTTTAACAATATCTTTTAGGTGTGACGGTGTTGCCTGAGCGATAAAAGAGTCGGACCTTAAGTATCCCCACTCTATGGTCTTAGGTTCGAGTCCCCAACCCCCTATCCCCCACTCACTCACTCACTCACTCACTAACCATTGCCGGGTAAAAAGTCCAGTTGGTTTTGTGTCAAGACTCTCTCTTGGGCATTCTCTCGATGAAAGTAGAGAGAAAATGACCTATTGGAGGGTAAATTATATCGACTTCCTAGGAGGTTTGGGTATATTGTACATGGATAGATCGTTCAATATATATTATTTTGATCTCCCTTTCGGTGCGTGTTAGTGTTTCTTTTTTCTCTCTTGATAGATTTGTTTGATCAAATTTTATAAAATAATAATTTTATCATTTCTTTATATGAAAAGATAATAATAACTTTGTGTATTACAATATTTTATATTATTATATAAAAGGACATTATTAATTTTTATACTCAAAATTACTTTTCGACATCGACAAATAAACCAAAGTATTGATATATAATTTGTCCAAACTTCGATGTAATTCACCCTTTCAAAAAGCACAGGACTGCCTATACTTTACCTCTTGTTTGAGGCCTTAGCCAAGCCCTCTGTTCTGTTTAATATATTAATATTAAATAATTATTATTTAACTCTTATTTTACGTTTGGTGTGCAGGAATGAAATGGAATGGAATGTCCATTTCAACCATTTATTTGTTTGGTGTGTAGGAATAGAATGGAATTGTCATTCTATTGGAATGAAAATTCATTTCTGGGAATGAAAATCCATTCCACAACTAAACTTATGGAATGACCATTCCATTCCCAAGTAATTGTTTTTAAAAAATCGACTTCCCAAAAAACCCTCATACTTTAAGTTCAAAAACCACCAACCATCTTCTTTCACTACCACCACCACTACCACTGCCTTCCACCACCACCACCATCGCCACTACCATCTTTCACCACCACCACCACCACCACCACCACCTTCCACCACCACAGCCACAGCCCTACACCGTTGCCGCCGTTGTAATACCCCGAAATTTTAAAGAATGTATTTAAATTAATTTTGTGTTAGGTTAATTAATTTTATTTATTTGTGCATACTACATTATTATATTAGGTTCATTTAATTGTGCATGTAAATTAATTGTGTATGTTAAAATAGTAAATTTGTTCATGTAAATATGCATGTATTATTATTAATAATTTTATTTGTTGGTTATGCTTATATTAATCATTATTAGTTAAGTAAAGTATTATATTTGTGTTATATAGTATTATGATGATATAATGTATTATTTTGTAATAATAATAATTATATTAGTTTAATAATAATAATAATAATAATAATAATATTAATAATAATATAATAATAATAATTATAAAAGTTTTATTAATAATAATATTAGTAATAATAATATTAGTATTAAATCAAGGTAATGATGAAAAATTAAATACTAGGATAGAATTTCATTTACTATGGTAGAATGGTGGATCAAATATCTTGATTAAAGATAGCATTGTCTTAAAGCCATATAGGTAGGAGTATGAGAAATGGGTGAGAAGTTATTAAAAATAAGATATTTGTAATATTTATATTATATATTTTGTATATAAATTAACTAGCTTGCCTTAGAAGAAAATAAAAGGGAGTTAGAAGCAAAGTATAAATTCTAGAGAGCTATTTTATAAGAGTGAAAGGAAAAGAGAAAGAGAAAGAAGCTTGGACCGGTGTAGGCAATTTTACCCGACTACGCGCAGACCGGCGGATTTATTTTAAATCCAAAAAGGCAAGTTATTATCTACTTTTCCCCTTTGAATTAATAAATTAATTGTTTAGCTTATTTTTATGCATAGAGCCAAGGTTAGGAGGTTAATAAATAATTAATTTTATTTTATTAAATTAATGGAATTTTAATTATATAGGATGGTATATATTTATTTAATGTCCTATGAAATTAATAATGGCTAAAAATAATTAAATAAGACTTTAGGGATTTTTCTAGAATTTTCTAGATTTTTCCGGGCATTTTCTGCAATTTCCGGCGACCTTCCGGCGAGTTTTCCGGTCGCCGGCAGTGGGGGAGACGACCGGAGTGATCCGGTGCAACGCGGCGCACCATAGGAGGGTGTACGCGCGCATCCTGGCCATTAGTGGAGTCTGATTGATCCGGTGCATCGCGGTCCATGATACCGCGGTACACCCGGATCTGTGGACGTTGGATGAAGGAGATGTAGGTGGATTGATCCGGTGTGGCGCGCACGTAGGAAATCTGAATCAACCGACCAACCAGCACACGCCGCGTCAGCAAGGCACCCCTAGTGCGCGCGTGGTAGCGCGTGGCAGCGCGTGCACGCGCGTGGGACTCTCCAGACGCGCGTGGGAGCGCGTGGCTGATGCCAGACGCGCGTGGAGGCGCGTGGGAGAGTGGGGAAGGTTGGGCTGCGCGTGGGGAGGCTCTGGGAGGCGCGTGAGGGCGCGTGTGGGGTCCCTACAGCTGCTGGAAATTACCAGAATACCCCTAGGGCCTGTTTTGTAAATTCCAGAACCTTAAAACTTGGATTTTTAGGTACTGTGTTGGTAATTACGGGTTTAACGGGCCACGAAATTATTATTTTAACACCCGTTACTTATTCTTATGGCCGATTAATCTTTTCTAAGCATTTATTGGCTCGTTCGCAGTACGGATACTAATGTGATTTATTTAAACGACATTGTTAAATATAAATAGTGTTATTATCGTATTTAATGGTATCAAACATTACTGTTAAATTAAATAAGGCCATGGTTTTAATCAGATAAATTATCCATGATATCTTATAGGATGTTTATACTGTTAATTGATATATAAACCATGAATATTATGCTGTGTGCATTTCAGGAAATAAATGGACTGTTTAATTATGTCGCATTTATATTATATGGATGTGTTGCCATATAGAACCATATGAGCTGGCTAATAAGTTTAGACTCATTTATACCTTATGCATTCGTTGCGATAGACAGATGTGTGGCTGTCGGGGTATGTGGTTTAATATTATTGGCATGTGTTGCCTAATTGACATACTCGGTATATTTATTAATATTGTTGGCATGTGTTGCCTAATTGATATGCTCAGTATATTCATCAGTACTTTGCGAGGTGTTATCACTGTGTAGTTCGTTATAGTCTGTGTTGTCAGTACCGTGCACCATGTATAATAGCTGATTTCCCGGGTAGGGAAAGGCGACACTTGACCACCTAGTGTGAGTCTAAGTGATCACCGTCTATTCTGGTTGAGGTCATGTTATACATTGGATAGTTCCCATAGGATGTATACAGATATAGTACTCATCCGATTCATAATGATTAATTTATTTGATTCTCTGATTTGGGTCATAGTAGAGAGGACTTGCTCGTGGGGTTGACCCACCATTGTTGTTATTTCAGGATACGGTCAGTATCCGTTTCAAGGCTGAGGTTAGCAGTGTGGGACCATCATTCGAACTCATCTACTCCTACGATCCAGTGCAGGGTAGAAGTTTTATGTAGTATTTCAGTTTCAGTTTTTATTTACTTTTGACGTTGAACTCTCAGGGTTATATTTAGGGATCCCTGACGTAGGATTTCCAAGTTGTAATGAAGTACTGTATTAAATAAAGGATGGATGGATGTTGTATTATTTAATGTTTCTTTCCTGTCTAAATTCTTTTATTTCCATCATTTTGTATTCCATGCTTGTATATTGCCAATTGTTTTTGATATCCCTCGTTTTTCGTGTATAAGCCTGATCAACTTATGCGTGGGAAATGTGGGGGTGTTACAGCCGTCGCCTTCCACCACCACCATCGCCGCCGTCGCCTTCCACCACCGCCATCGTCGTCTACCACCTTCCATCACCACCACCGCCACCTTCCACCTCCGCCGCCACCTTCCACCATTACCGCCGTCGCAGCCACTGCCACCACCACCACCACCATCACCATCATCACCACCTTCCACCTCCGCTACCACTTCCCACCACCACCGTCGTCGTAGCCACCGCCACCGCCACCGCCACCGCCACCACCAACATAGTCACCACCTTCCACCACCACCGCCATCGCCACCGCCTCCATTGCCTTCCACTGCCACCATAGTCACACCACTATCTCCTTCCACCACAACCACCACACTACTGCCACCGTCTTCCACCAACACCACTGCCACCTTCCACCACCACCACTGTTGCCACCACTTTCCACCATTGCCACTACCGCCACTTTCCAACACTATCACCTACACCATTACCACTTTCCACCATCCACCACCACCATTTATTTTTAAAAAATTATTAGAGAATATCATTTTGTTAATTTTATTTATTTGTTACTAAGATGGATATTTTGGAGAATTCAATTAGAAATTTATTCCATTCTAAATTTTAAATTGGTTCAACCAAACACTAGAATGGTTATTATCATTCTATTCCTACACATTTCATATTTACAACCAAACAATAGAATGAGAATGACCATCCCATTTCACTAGCATTCTCATTCCACTCCCACTAGCATTTCATTCCATTCCTACACACCAAACGTAGCAATTAGTGAATAAAGATTTGATAGTGCGAGCGAAGTGAACAAAAGTCAAAATAAAATAAAATAAATGGTCTAAGATTGGGATGCAGATAAGTGAGTAAACTTCATGTACTAGTTCCATGTATATTTTTTTTTTATAGATTACATTTGGTAATTAATACACGAAACAAGACAAAAGGTGAAGCAAGCATATCTTTCTTTCATTTATATTAATCGCAAGATAGAATCGAGTAATTAATACTTTAAAAAATATATATATATATATAAATTTAATTTTTTTTTTGAGTTTATATAAATTTAATAAAATGGGACTATCTGGCATTCTTGTTTTTACGTGGGACCTTAGACGACTGACTATATTAATCACAAGATGGAATCGATTTATTATATTATATGATTCAATTTTAAAAAGAATATTTTATTTTATTGGGTATTAATTTTTATATTTGTATTCGTTCGTTTATAATACGATTATTTATCTCAAGTCCTACCATGCAACTCTCTAGTGCCAATAGTACCAACACTTGTTACCGGTTCAACCAAACCGGTCTATTTCCAAGTTTATACCTATAAAGTTTACTAAGATCCAAAGAAGCAACTTTTGACAGCTAGAAGCTTGGTCCTTCTCCATACACACTCACTTCATTTCCTTAGTTAGCAAATCATATCTTGCCACATGTACAAAAAACAAGCAAGGACCTCCACACTAACAAATTATTATATAATTTCGGAACCATTAGTCCTACCAACCACTAATTAACACACAAATAAAAAAATGAGAAAGTATTACATATCTGGGTATTATTGATTTCGGCCAATCACCGATTAACACATAAGTAAAAAAAACTGAATAAAAATGGACATAAAATTTATAGTGTTAATTGATGATTGACCAAGTATCAATGATCTTGGAGTCGTGTAATAATTTTCAAATAAAATTGACACATTTGTTTTAAGTATTTATTAGTGATTGATGTGGGATCAATGATTTAGAATCATGTAATAAGTTTTCATTTTTTTACTAAATTTACCAGAAATTATTAAATAACCTTCAACCATGAAATATTAATATATTATTACAAAGCATCATGATTGGAGCGCATTAGCTGCATGCGTTTTATTTTTTACTAAACTAGAAACAGTATTTTTGTTGTAAGAATGTTTTGAAAAAAAATCAAAAACATGTTTGGGAATGATATTTTGTTGTGAAAATATCGGAAACGAAAAATAAAAAAAAATAACTTTTATGGTTTTTAGAAAAAAATAATTTTTATAGTTTTGGGTTATGAACAGTTGTCAAAAGAAAAAAAAATTTTTTTTTGATATTTTATTCCCAAAGTGTATTAACACTGTATAAAATAAAATAAGACTAAATGCAGATAATAAAATAAAATAAGGTTGCATTAAGTATATTTTATTGTCAAAGTCAATATTATACCGGTCTAAAAATAAAAATAACATAAACAAAACGGCATGACAAACAGAAGAATAAATTTTCAAAGTTTACAATAAGCCGAGTGGCAGGTGATGAAAGAGCTAGTGGGCATCAACCGATTCCAAAGTCCCATCATGACAGCTGCTATTTCATACGGAACCTCTCTCTCACTGCCTTTACTCCCTCACTCTTCTAGCTCTAAATTCCTCACCAATCTCTCTCCCTCTCTCTACTTGTACCCACATGACCATAACTCTGTCTTCATCACTCTTCACATACATGAATCGATTTCTATATCTTCTTTGAAGCGCTATAGAGATCAATTCACTTCACAATCCCAAATGTCTCAACACAACACCACAGTCATGAACGAACAGCTCTCCAAACAGACCTTAATCTTCGGCTTACGCTTGTGGGTCGTATTGGGTGTCTGCGTTGGAGCCGCCTTCGTCATCCTCCTCTTCCTCCTCTCTCTCTGGCTCACCCAGAAGCGAAACAGAACACAGAGAATCAGACCCTCCACTCACACATCCGCCATTCCAATCGTGTCCAGAGACATTCAAGAAATCAAAATCGACCGTTGTTGTCAAGACCCCAATTCGAATCCCAACAGGAATCATCTCAACCCATGCCAAGAATCGGAGCAATTTTCAGGCATTGAGAGGCAAGCTCTGCTTCTGAAGCCGGAAGAAGAGAGCCCAATTGGGTATAATCGAATTCACATTGAAATTGGTAAGGATCATCGGATTCTGTACCCTGAGAGGTTTGGTGGGTTGTTGAATTCGCATGGAAATGGTGAGAATCGATCGGGTGATCAGATGGCTATGGTGGGTCCTGAAGTTTCTCACTTGGGTTGGGGACATTGGTACACTCTCAGGGAGCTCGAGGCTTCCACGAATGGGTTCGCCGACGAGAATGTGATCGGCGAAGGCGGGTATGGGATTGTTTACCATGGTTTATTTGAGGACAACTCTCAGGTTGCTGTCAAGAACTTGCTCAACAATAGGTGATCATCACTTGCTACTTTATCCATTTAGTGCTGTCACTTGTTGGAATGTCATGATATTTAATCTGAATGGGATAATTCTAATTATCATTTGAATCATTTTCAATAGATGAGTTATTAATTCCTATTATTATATTGGATTGAAGTTTGTTATTTTAATTTTGTTTTTGATGTAGTAGCATTTTGAGTGTATTATTGTATGGTATAATTGTGAAATTGGTGAATTGAATATTTGTAATGCTGTAGGGGTCAAGCTGAGAAGGAGTTTGAGGTTGAAGTGGAAGCAATTGGACGTGTAAGGCATAAGAATTTGGTGAGATTGCTCGGATATTGCGCCGAAGGAGCACATAGGTACTCTGTTTTTTGGCCTATTGGGACCTTCTTTTTTCACACTTGAGTTTTGGGTATTTTAATTGTTAGCTTGAACTATGGTTTTTAACTCTAATATGCTCTAAATTAAATAAAATGTTTACTTTATTTTTGTTGGGACGGCTTGTTTGTGAGTTTTGTGGCATATTTGGTGGTGTTACTAATAACTTGTGTGTGTTCTATGCAGGATGCTTGTTTATGAGTATGTGAATAATGGGAATTTAGAACAGTGGCTTCATGGGGATGTTGGGCCTTGCAGTCCTCTTACTTGGGAAATTAGAATGAATATCATTCTGGGTACTGCAAAAGGGTACTAATCAAGTTTATTTCACTCTTTCCTTCCGTTCTTTCATTGTATTGCATCATTAATCATTTCTGAAATTTAATTTTGAGTGTAGGTTAACTTACCTTCATGAGGGACTTGAACCAAAAGTTGTCCACCGTGACATTAAATCGAGCAACATTTTACTAGATAAGCAGTGGAATCCCAAGGTCTCAGATTTTGGACTTGCTAAACTCCTTGGCTCTGAGACGAGCTACATTACAACCCGTGTGATGGGAACCTTTGGGTACAGCTGCCCTCTCTCTCTCTCTCTCTATATATATATATATATATATATATATATATATACTGTTTGTGTGGGTGTGTGTGTTTGTGAATGCAAGAGAGGTGAATTCCTTCTTCTTTTGCAGCTATGTGGCCCCTGAATATGCAAGTACTGGCATGTTGAACGAAAGAAGTGACGTATATAGTTTTGGGATTCTTATTATGGAAATAATTTCAGGGAGGAACCCTGTGGATTATGGTCAGCCCACAGAAGAGGTTTGTACTAAAATATCACAGCTACTAGCTCATGAAATGGATAAAATTTGATTTTTTAAAAAATAAGAGCTTGTAAAGGTTATCATTTTTTTTTTCTTCCATGATTTTGTCTTTCTTCAACTTAAGTCATGATTTTTCAGGTGAAATTAGTTGAGTGGCTCAAGAAGATGGTTGCAAACAGGAATCCGGAGGGAGTTTTGGATCCCAAGCTACCTGAGAAGCCTTCTACTAGAGCACTGAAGCGGACTCTTCTAGTTGCCTTGCGCTGTGTGGACCCAAATGCACAAAAGCGACCAAAGATGGGGCATGTCGTACATATGCTTGAAGCTGAAGAGTCGCCTTTCAGAGATGTATGTATGCTATTCATTCTAACTATAGAATTTAATAGTGGCCAGTATTGCACTCCTAGTTGCACATACAACAAAAAGAGTATTTGTTATGTAAAGTGAATGACTTGTATCAAATTACACTATACAACTCAAATAGATAAAATAGGAAATGCTGTTATTAAATCATCCAAGATAAGTTGATATAAGTCAAAATAGAGAAAGGTTTACAAAGGTTATCAAAGTGAATTTCAATAATTGTTGTTTTTAGCGTTCTTGAGTGGTAATTCTAGTTTGAACTAGAACTTGGATGTAACATTTAATGTAATAACGCTATAGGCTATAGCTATAGGTCATTTCGTTTTCCATGTGGTCCATTTAATTTTTTTCCCTCAGAACCTGCAACTTTGGATTTCATTTTTGTTGATAATGATCTATGAACGAAACACATAATCAATGGAATAGAAGAAATAAATGCTGGAAGCATTATCTATTCCTTTTAAGCTTGAAAGTGATCCATCCAATTTTTACTTGTAGCTGAAGAATATGAAGACAACTTTTATTTCCCCCCCCTTTTTGTTACCAAGATGTTATTATTGTTTTGAATTTATTCATTCATAAAGGCTCGAATATCTCTTGTTTTAGGATCGACGAGCAGGGAGGGACCCGGGGCATGCACATCATGACAGTGCAAAAGAGGGGTCCGTAGGGATGCAAGTGACAGGATCAGGTGACAGCAGTGAATACGAAAGTGGGGTTCATGCCAATGAGGCAAGATGAGACAGCAAGAATGGCAGTGAGAAAGCCGGTGAAACTCTCTGTGCTCAAGTAACAGGTCACATGGCACATTTCTACTGCTTGCCTCTCTTCATCTTGAAGCTGGCCTCTGCAAATATTATTTACATTATCCATATATAGGCTGCTTTCAGAGTTGGTGCTCTATATAATTCATAGCATATATATAGCTCATTGTGCTGCACCTTGTGTAGTTTCCGTGTGCGATCAAATTCAATTTTCTCCATTGGATTCTTTTCCAAAGAGTGCATTCATATATTATGAGCTGTAATTGTTGTTTTGGTGATACATGTATCAAACTCAATAATATTGAATGAAAGATCATCACATCTTTATCATATTCTGCTTCCAAGTATAGAGGTTCTTAATGTCCTTGTATTCTCCTCCTCCACTTTTGTACTCCGAGTCTCTCCAATCGAACCAGATGCTCGAATCCTTTTTAACCATTCAACTGTGTCAAGGGCTCTTGTCCTTGTTGAACCTAGAACTTGAATCATGTTGAACAACCTTTAAGTTGACATTTACTACAGATAAGTTTATGTGTCTGTACTAAAATGCTGTTGTTGAATGAATATAAATACTCCAAGAAAAGCCACTTTACAATGATGAAGATGCACAGTTCAGTTTCAACAGACACTGAAAACTCCTAGTAAATTCCCATGTTGAAATTGGTTAGGCCAATAACCTTTATGCTAAGTAGGTGGGGGCTGCATAATGAATGGAAGGACCCTCCAGTAACATGGTTGCTAGTCGATTTTCCGTTGGGGGTGGGGTGCCCTAGTTGTGACTTTAGAAAGCTTGACAGCTGGGGATCTAACCATGTTCTGGTCTCTTTGGACCCCTCCACTGATGACTTAGCTGGTCCTGCCCCAACAACAAAGACACAAGGAGGCACATTATTAACACTCACCATTTTTGGCTTTTGATCTCTCTAGGAAAACAAATAGACCTACAACAAGCATCCCCACTGTTTGGGGGGGGGGGGGGGGGGGGGGGGGGGGGAGATTTGGACTTTCGTGTTTATTTCAATTTGATTTTATGCATATGACAGAGAGTTGCATTTGCATGTATGCACCTAAAAAACATGCTGCTGCTTTGATGAATTGAATGTTTTCACACTAAAGTCCAATATAATTGAACTTTGAGCTGCAGTGATTGGTTGGAAGGTTAGGGTTTTTTTTTTTTTTTTTTTTAAACCTGTGGTTGATGGGTTTCTAATTGTATTACTAATCATTTCTGCACTAACTGAAAAGGGCTTGATAAACTGTTCTGATTCATATCTATCAATTACCACTTCCCTCCCATTTTGAGGTATTTAGTGGTCAGTATTATCTAGTCTGTTTAAGCTTTATGCTCCCTTTGGTAAGGGTGATGGAAAAATGGGAGGGAGTGTCTTTTTCACTTTTTATTTAGTTGAATGGAATGGATAGGAAAAATAGGTGAATGGGAAAGGGGAGCAATGGATGGGGCATCCTAGGGAAGGAAGGCGTCTTGGTACTTTTTGTTTGGTTGAATGAAAGGGGATAGTAAAAATGATGAATGGAAACAAAGAAAACAAAGGAAATGAGAAATTTTATGGGGTCTTAGTCAATTTACAATTCATGTAATAATTTTGCTTCTCTTCCTTCATCCCTTCCCTCTACTTCTGGATGGATTAAAATTTGTGGGCCAGGAAGGGCGACTCATCCATCATCACTTTCATTTCCTTCTTGTCTCCTCTCTACTCTACCAAACGAAGCAAGTCTGCTCCTTCCTTCCTATCTTTCCTTCGTTTCTCTTCCTTCCTACCAAACAGAGTATTATACACTGGGAACACGATATATCGTGTGGGTGCATAGTACTATTAATGTAGCACAATTCATCAGTAGCCTCATTATTACAACAAATGTGGGTGCATAGTACTGTTTTTGGATTACTTGGGCCAAGGGTGTTTGCTAGACACCCCATATGCGCTTGAAAGCTAGCAGTTTTCAGTAAACAAATTCACATGAGCTTTCCTTCTCATTGGTTTGTTATCTTCCCTTATATAGGGTCTGTGTCCCCCCACATTCAATAATGAGCATACTGGTTCCTTATTAGGTTGGAAGTTTGCTTCATACTTCCATTTCCAATTTCATGCAAATGCTTGTTTTATTACAATAATTATTCATGTTCCTCTTCCTCTGCTGGATCAAAGCTGTATCGTTGGATGTAACGTAACCATTGTCTGCAGATGTCGATAGATCAATCACTCTTAAGGGGTTATCCAGCGACTTAGTTGATAGATCGCCCATTTTCCCGAATCGGTGTGCCTGTGTTTGAGTTTTTTCCCCCTAACTTGTCAAGAAATAAATAAATAAATAAAACAACATGTATAAGTTTTGTGGTAGCACTGCTTGTGCAATGTTTGGAACCTAAGCTCATCGTGTCTCTAACAATCTTCAATCTTTCTTTCTTTTCTTTTGTGTTGATTTTCTTGAACTTAATTTGATTCAACTGAATTATAAATTTTTGAAGGAGAAAAGTTTATGGTGAGCCAACTTGGGACTCTCATATCAGATGTGGAAATTGGAATGTTAGATTGGTTTTAAACCCTAACCTTCCCCCTAAAGGTGATGATGGGTTTAATTTCAGAATCTTTGCTTGTCAAATTCATCAACAAATTAAGCTTTTTAAGCTAATGTAATGGAAATTACTCAAATTAATTTGTAGATGGAATTGCTAGAACTGTATGTTCCATTTCGATTGCAAGATTTCAAACAAAGAGATTTATGTTCAATTATGTAAGAAATATAGCTTGATATTTTAGAGAAATATAAGAAATGAGAATGTCAGAGCATCAAGAGCGGAAAGTATTTGGATGCGGTCTCTCCAAGTGGAGGGCCCAAGTGTTTAGCATGGGTATCTCCGCTTTGCAAGGACCACACGGTATTATTCACTCCATTATTCATAATGTGGAGAATGAAGTAGATAATATGGGTCTAAAATGGTAAGCGAAAGTGGAAATAATAATAGAAGGAATAATGTGGGCTTCACAAAGTGGAGATGTCCACACTATGAGCTCTAAGTATTCAAATAAAATAGATAGTCACCTTAGCACAATTGTTGATGTGTCACTCTATTTTTCAAAAAAATTGGAGAGGCAAAGTAGAGTCTTCTACCGCAGATGCTTTTAAGATGGATGAGTGAAGTGACTAAAAGAGATAATATCATTAATGAAAGTACTAGCCATTGGTGAGAAAATTTAAGAGAGTAGATTTAGGAGAAAGTATACAATAGGGTATATTACATGTGATATTCCCGCCCAATACACAAATATATTTTTTTTCTTTCTAAAAACTATCATTTTCTCGTGCATCAAGACAAATTGAGAGTTTTTATAATTTTTATTGGTGGGGTACCATGTATAAATATTCTTGGGGTATTGTATACTTTCTCGTAGATTCAATTTTATTCTCTTTTTCTTTAACCTATATTGATCTTTATTCTTTGGTCTAATATTATTTCAAAAAAAATTATAATTTGAAAAATTGTTAATCTTCCAATTCAAGATTAATGTCCTCTGAACTCACATGTGAATCTTCCATTATAAGATTATGATGAACTAATTAAACTATGTATTAATAGGTACTTTGTGAAAACTATATATTAATTGAGATGAAAAATAAGATCTATTTTTTTTTTTGGTAAGTAAGAAAATAAGACATTTGAAAAAATAAATATGCAATTTTGCAAATGTTTAGTAATACTTTTACAACTCTATGGCTCTTTTCATTTGATTTATTACTGGTATATGATTGAAAAAATGATAAAATAATATAAAAATAATAATTTTCATAATAAGATGTTCTCATTAGTTATATTTAATCTTTAGTTATATTTAATCAAGGATCTTGTAGTCTCTGGAGTTCAAAATCTCATAGCGGCATTGGGTGTTTGAGTCTAAAGTCACATAGAGCAGGAGTGGGCCCGCGAGCGCGAGAATGACAAAATTTAAGTCACACAGAAAAGAAACAGGAGCGAGAGTGGTAAGAACGACACCCGTTCAAAAGAATTATGTGACTTTGGTGTGAGTGTGTTTCTTTGTGAAAAAAAGAAGAAGAAAAAGTTATATTTAGGATACAACTTGGGGTAGTAAACTCGAACCCAACCCAATTTTTTACGTGCTTTAACAACCATTTCAGCGATTATTAGGATTGAGATTAGGCTGTAAAGTCTAAACCCTAAACCAAATATTAATAACTTTTACATCTTTATAATAAAAAAAACATTATATTTTCTTATTATCGTGATGAACCATTTTATTTCAATCTGTTTTTCTTTAAATTTGATTTATTGTTTAGTAATCATTTGAAAAATTAATTTATTGAGAATTTATTAACAATTTTTACATCTTTAAATTCAATTTTTGAGTTTTTTTTGAAAATTTTTATGTACAGAAGTAACCAACCAACTCTGAGATCAACCCAAATTATCTAATCCGAGCTCAATCGATTCGAGTTGAGTTAAACTCGGGTTAAAACAAGTGGGTTGAAGGCCGGGTTAAAGTTAAACTTGGGTTGAAGGTTGTGTATCTTTGAATGAGGTTTGGTGGTGATGGGAAAAAAAGCCTGTATCGACAAAATGGGCCTGAAATTCTGGGCCTATTAAATTCTTGACCTAGTGTGGGTCATTCTGTATCTTCATAAGGCTACCAATTAGTACTGTTGGGCCTTGCCTGGTTTAATTGGGTCTTGATGGTCATAGGGTTTTCGTATAACTAAAAACTAAAAAACTGTTATTTAAATTACAAACAAAGCAAGCCCAATTTTTAGTAAGCTATAGAGATTTAGTATATTGAAAGATTAGTTTCACGCTCTAAATTTATGTTGCACAAATACCACACTCATGCATAACGAAATCTTAGTCATTCATCATAAGACCGTAAAGAGGAGGGATCCCATTTGTTCCACATCAAGCAAGCTAAGTTTTATAAGAATGGTTTAGTGCTATAAAAAAACATTTTCATTCACTTAAACGGTAGCAAAATATCTTGGGTAGAGCCTAACATTTCTCTGTTCGCTTTTAAAGCACTTCATTTATGTCAGGTGACTAAACTTTGAAACTCTCAGTTTACATTTCTTCATTCCAAAACTATTTGTTGAACAAACAAAAAGTTACTAACTAAAATTATCTTCTTATGCCACACAAATACCAGTGCACAATGAGATGAACTAATGATGATGGGAACGTTTGCATGACATTATATCTCATACATTAATTTGTGTGAAGTTGTATAGACTTGTGTAGCATTTATCTAGCATTATATAGTAGCTCTGTAAATATAGTTTTGGAGTATTCTATAATCTCGTTTTGGAAT